AACTGATAAATAGCGTAAAAATGTTTAAAAATCAACTTAGTAAACATCTGTCACAAAAATGCTACTATTCATTGCAAGATTTTTTTAATCACAAGGAAAATTGTTCATAACGTCATAAAAAAGGAATTTTGATATGTTAACTATATTTATAAAAAAGATGACATAATTATGTAATTTAATAAAATGACAAATGTTATGACTATTATTATATAATTCTAGAATAATTTGACGATTAATTTTTTTGAAATACTTTAGACTTCAATTTGACATTCATTTTCCAATTAATTCATTGATTTCTCAGAAAATATTTTGTTTAGATTTAATTATCATTATAATGATATTTTAATTAATGGTAATCAAAATGTGTATTTAAAAAATTGACATTGCTACGCCCTTACAGGGTTCATGTTTGATACTGTAAACTACTATAAGAACTATTATGTAACAACATGTTTTGCAATACACATTATTATTATTATTTCGGACCGTCATTTCTCGGCTTCGGAACTTATACGACTCGTTACCAATCTACGTAAAAATTAACAGCGCAAACGCAAAAGAAGAGAAGATTAAAGAAACCTGCAATTATCTGCCAATAAATATTGTCAGAGTGTGAAACATTTTTATTTCTATTCAATTTCATATCTGTCAAAATATTTTTATAGCTGCGCAACCGTGGATCAGCCATAAAACGAAACATTTCATAATAACATGTGAGAGCTTTATTTCATTTTCGATAACGCAACAAATCTTTTGAAGTCTTGCTAGATAGGATAACAAACATTAAAACTTGAAAACAATAATAACATATGTCTATTCTTATTGAGTTCTTTCTAGCATCCTTGACTGCGAATCTGTTAGTGCTTTCTGCCATCACATTTTATAAATAGAGACTGAATTGGTCTAAACAAAATCAACTGTAAGGCGTAGTAAAACACTTTTTATTAGCTATTTAAATCGCCAAAAGATACTCTGAAATATAATTAACTAGTTAATATTTGAATCAGTTCTTCTTAATCTTATTACTGCTTCCGTGGCCGAACGGTTACCATGCTGGTCTGCCACACAGGTTTGATTCACGGGCCGGGTGAAATATTTGTATGACCTACATTTTTTTTCTCTCGTGAGATTCGTTGTAATTTGTGGTTTCTATGTATGTCCATGGCACCCGCGACACAGGGTTTCCTTAGTTCGTTGTTAAGAGTGTTTATGTGTCAACGTCTGACGCAAAAAGAGGGGACTTATAAATTTGAAGCCTTTGTCTCATCTATCTATGGCATCTTATTTCCCAAACGGGTGGGACCTCTGTGCGTTCATTTTTCAATTTAATCGAGATGGTTCTTAGCCATGTTTGATGAACATCTATTCGAGATCATCAGTAGTAGAGATTTTATGTAGTACAGATCTTAGTCGATCGAACAGCTTTGAAATTTGTTACACTATGTAAATCCGATAACATTACTTTTTTTTAAACATCAAGTGACGTGACGAACAAGTCTTGTGCCTGATGGAAGCTACACACCTGTCCATAACAGTTGCAGTGCCACTCAAAGCTTTAAATCGCATAGATCTGAGTGGCATTGCCACTGCACCCGTCATCCTGAGACATAAGTTGACAAGTAAGTGCCTGTAATTTCTCCAGCACCCTTACTCTTCTAAACCGGAGCGCAGGGTAACATTACCGCTTGGCGGCAGAAATAGGTAAGGTGGCAGTACTTCCCTGGATGAATCTTTCACAAGGAGCTCTACTGCTGCAAAAGTTGATGTGTGTGTTTCCTTCGACGCAAAAAGAAGGGAGTTATAAATTTGTCTATGTATCTATCTCCACATAGATTTACGGCTCCCCGCAATAGCCCAATTCATGAAACAGGCATCGAGGAAATCTTCGAATCTGCTCCTCACCACCCCAATCCCCTCGTTTTGGCTGCTTCCAATTACCTCCTTTTTTTTTTTTTGACGGGGGGGAAATCTTTATGGATACCCCTGAGCCCAGGGAGACTCAGGGGTTATGTGGGGACTCTCCCTCCAGACTTGAGGGCCTACCCCACTAAAACCCTCCGGGTTTCCCTCTCGCCGGTTGAGTCGGCGCCGTGGGATCAGTGAACATTCACCACGACGCCGCCCGGAACTTCCAATTACCTCCTGCTCAGGGAAAACCTCCACCGCATTCGAAGGACCCGTCGGCCAAATTAGGTTCTGTGTGACCCTGACGACCCTATCACTCTCGTCACTTTAAAGGCCAACAAGTCGAACTCCACACGTACCAACTCGTACTCATTTCAGCACGTACACTTGTAGGTTCTCTCCTCCTTTCTGGCTGAAGTCCCCTGCAACGACCTGGAGGTCTTCAGTCTTGAAGGACATCCGTTCGAAACAATTACCGTCAAAGAAGTAATATTCGATCTTCATACTTGACAATACGCAGTAATTGTTTCGGTCGGACGTCAGACGGATAACGTAAGCCCCCTGAGCCAAGGTCCGTGCCCACTTGGGCGTCCCCAGGCCCGCTACTTATAATAAATAAATAAATATTAGACAACATCACATATGTTGGTCTGATCCCAAAGTAAGTAATTAAACTTGTGTTATGGAAATCGGAAACAACGACGGTACCACAAACACTCAGACCCGAGACAATAAAGAAAAGTTAGTGTTCTACATTGACCCGACCGGGGATCGAATCCGGGATGGCGACACCATGAAAACCGGTGTGTAAGCCACTCGACGGGAGGCCGTCGTCTAGTCGCTACTTAGTTTTTAGTTTAGTTTTCGGTTTAACGGGTTAACAGCCTTCACCAGCTTACTCTTTCATCCAATGGCGCAGTTAAGGCCATCAGCAGCCAAGAGCAAAGCGTCCTTCATAAAAAAAACTGTATCTATCTATCTGTGGCATCGTACTTCCCAAACGGTTACCTCTCTGAGTGAAGAAATAAATTACTCACAGATGACATTACGGCAAAAAAGTCGTTAAAAACCAAAAACATTGATCTGAAACAAGCACATAGAAATTTCGTAAGGTCTGCTGGTTCGTTCCGTGGCTTAATTGGCAGAGCATCTGGCACGGATTGCCTGAGCCTGCTGGTTCAAATCTAGCCGGATCGACTGAAATTTTATTAGTGTTTCGATCTTTGTTATAATAATTATAAGCTAGTGGAGTAATTTCACAATAATAAGTGAATATTTATAAAATATTATATTAGAATAAAAATTATAACCGGTATTATTTCAAAACAGTTTCCTTTTATAAAAAATAATGCCTATTCACTCTCGTCTTGAAAAGGCCCAAGTTATGTTCAGGGAACAAGTCTGCAGGCAGGGAATTCCACTACATAGCCGTTCGCCATACAAATGTGGAACGTAACGCTTCGTGCGAATCTTTGGAATATCCACAACATAGGGGTGGAACCCAAGCCTACGCCTGGTCCCCCTGTGATGGAAAGGGGAAGGCGGAATTAAATCGTGTAATTCCATCGCACATTAATCAACGGGAACCTGATATTTTTATAACATTGCAACATAGATCGTAATAATGAAGTAATGCACTGTCTGACTTTAATACACTGTTGAGATATACCGCTTCCATTATTTTTACGACATAAGTCTACAAGCTTTACAACAGGATATTCAAATTGAGTTGATGATAGTTTTTGAAAATAAAAGCTCTCTGATGCAATCATTTGTTTGGGCGGAGAATTTATTTCTTTTCTCGCGTGCATTTATTATTGCCGATGAGCGGACTGTGCTGTATTTAATAAATAATGGTGAGGTGAAAGAAATGACAGGTCTTCTAGTCGTCAGTATATACGATTTGACGTCATCGCGGGAGTTTGTTATGCTTAATGTTTGGCCGACACAGTGTAACTATGCTCCTTTTGTTTTGCGATTTACGATCTTGTTCGTCCTGTCATTTCATATTATAAAAAAAAACTAAAGAAAGCAGCAATTATGAGCCAATAAAAATTGTCAGAGTGCGAAACATTTTTATTATCATATATATTATATCTGTCAATATATGTTTGTTGCTATCAATGTTGTAAAAGAAATAGATTTTGAAATATGAACTTGTTCTACAAAGTTTTTTTTTTGTGATTTTTGATTGTGAACCTCAACATATCTGTCTCTATTTTTGGCAATAGAAAAAAGGACGCTTTTCAAACCGTTCACGGGTCACTGTATTTCTGTTCCTGTCGTATAACCGTATAATAATACCCATTTTTCGGAGTGGTTTAATTGTGCCTTAGAGCGTTTGCATACTACATCCTATTCATATTCGATCTTAATCCGATAGATAACTATACAAATCTAGAAAGCTCGGACCCACTTCGGATGCCGCTTGTGCACTAAGTCTGATTCTAATCCGAGAAAACACGGAAACCGCATGTACAAGTTGTACACCTAGAGAAAAAATGATTCCTGTGACATTTCGGGTCGTCATTTCTCGGATTCGGAACTGGGGGTCGATTCAGAACATTAATAACTCCGATTCGATTTTATATCGTACGATTTCTTTTCATTTTTATTCACAACGCCGGAATCGAACGTCAAACTGTCGTATTCGTAACCGAACTTAATGACGTCACACCCCTACGATTATTCGAACTTCTCGACCGGCAAAGGCTACAAACGTTATTCAGAACACTGTTGTACTGAATGTAATATGAAAATCTATTATTATTTTAAATAAAGTCTGGATTTTGTTCAATTTTATTTTAATGCAAGACCCCTATAATTTAGGCCTTTAAAGTCTTAGAAATGTATATAAAAGAATTTTCATTTTTCTTATAGTCTATTTCACCAACTAACTCCGTAAACTCTGTTGGATAACAATGTTCTAATGTCAAATGTTCTGAACAGGTCGGAAGCTAATTGTGCAGTAACATGCGTGTAATATGATTCACTTTCCTAGACGAACTCTTTCACATTGATACTTAAATGTTTAAAGCAGCCGATGAAAGTATTATCTTCTTCGCAGATTTTACAGACAGAACAAAAACACTCACCGGTTAATAGTAATAGCGACCATGCTCAGCAGTGACACCGCCTCGTTGCCGTAAAACACGAACGCGAAGAGCTGACAGAGCTGCAGCCCGAACGGCCAGTTTTGGTTTATGTACCGGCTGGCGGTCAGGGGTAGATTGATGCTACAGAACAGTAGGTCTGACACGCAGAGAGACAACACGAACATCGTTGTGACATGTCCGCGGAGTTTCGGGTGCATTAGCAGCGCTACTGTTGTTATGAAGTTGCCTGAAAAAGAAAGCATATTTATTTGATACATAGGTGACAAAAGTCTAGTCACAAAAACCAAACAATAATTTTAACAAGTCTGTCTAGTTTAAAAAGTACAAATAACATGTAAATTAGAATTTTCTATATTTTGGAATGGAATTTAATCATCATTGTCTTAAATTGTCTATAATTAATTATGTTTCTTCTTCTTGCAGTCGACCGCTGCATACACACAAAATTACTGCGTGCATTACTGCGTTCCGGTTTGGAAGAATTTCGTCGCGCTGATGCCGCGAGGAGACTGCGTGAATCTAACTGTCATGGCAAAATACGCTCTATATATTTACTTGTTACATTTTAACTTAAATGAGCTTCTCGGGCGCACGGGCGAAACTGGCTGTCTTTGGTCACTCACCCTTAGACATAAATTGAAAAGTCCCATTCACCTGTAATTTCACCAGTGTTGCCAACTTGGGAATTAAGCGACATTTTCACATCAAAAACATTTTGTTTTAGTTCTATTTAGAAATAAAAAATGTTAGCGTCTTTCTTGGGATTCCACTCCTATGTCATGTGGCTATAGAGTCGAATTTCTTGGCTGCGGAATTGTTCTCTAGACGGTATAACTTGGGCCGTTTCAAGATCCTTCGTTTCTTTTCTTCGAGACTTTCCATCAGGTGAGATATAGGTCAAAACCGCACTTGATTCGATCCATTAACTCTTACTCCCTATACCTCTCTTTCATTCTGGTTTTATGTCTGAGTCCTTCACTCAATACGTCTCTGGAATGCTCTCACGGACTCCATCCGAAGGTCTCCTAGTTTAGTTCTCTTTCAAAAAGAATGTCCATGAACATTTTTTAAATTGTTTGTCACAGCGATGATTATTATCATAATTAATTTGATTTATAATCTAGTCTTTAAAAGTAACTTTAGGTAATGTTTTTTTTTTATTTAAAAAAGAAAAGATATTGTTTTAAATTGCGGCGCCCTAACAGGGTCATGTTGATACTACTTTAACTTTAAGATCATTTGTAACACATGAAAGCAATAAATACTTTGACTTTGACTTTGACTTTAATCTTCTGTTATTGTATGTATCATATATAAATATGTATATAGGTGTTACGTATATAGATATGTATATATTAGGTTTATTGGTTATTTATATCAATATATATTTATTACGTTTATGTTATTAATACATTATTCATTTAATATTTTGTTTAATTTGCCGCATTTGTGAATTTCGTCTTCCTCAAAGGTTGATTGGTAGAGAATGCTTTTAGCATTAAGTCCGCGTTTTGTACCATTACGTATTGTGGTCAATAAAGTTTAATACATAAATATTGTTTTTGTGGTCATGCTATAGTGCAGACAAGAAATTTTTTTTTCTTTTTGTATTATTTATAACTTAGATGTTATTGGCTAAGATTTAAAGCACAAAACATGTTTGTTTATATTACTCAGAGCAGTGGTAGCATATTGGGAGCATGGTTTCTCAATTGAGAAGACGAAGCTTGAAATCTCTGTGGCGGCAATGTACGTTACAATGTACCTATGACTTGATGTTCTAACTTACGTACATTTGTGAAAATTTGGCTAGTATGAAACTTGCATGTCGAAGGTTCACAAGCTTTATAAGTGTGGCCTAAGGCTTCTCTTCAGAGGAGACCCGTGTTCTGCAGTGGGACGTATAATGGGATAATGATGATGTAACACATGTAGTATAAAATGACTAAGAATTTGACAAAAATAAAGAAACTGACAACCTTTTACTCGTGCAAAAATACCATCTCCTAGATACGAACCCGGAAACTTTGGCACTGCAGCCAAACATTTTATTAGCCAACACATTTGAGTGCCTCTCAGGCATATGAACTGATCTGCGGTAGTTAACTGAAGAGGTTTGGTTATAATTATCAGGATATTTTAAGTGGTCTGTTTATATATTCTTGGGAACCGTGGAGTTGGAGTGTTTGGTGGGAAGGGTAACCATGGCAATGGGGTCTGATTTTTAAAATTAGGCAATCAGACAATAATAAAAAAAATAATTTAATTTAGTTAGAAATAATGTTTGTATAATAAAAACGATCATCAACTCATTCACAGGCGAAGGTTTAGGCCTGTCTTCACACGTTTTCCGTTGTTCGTCAGACGTTTTCCTTCATCGAAAAGCTCACGAGTCGCAATCCCGGATTCGAACCTACTACCCTCTGCTTGAGAGACAAGGTCAAAGCATTAGGCTACCACGGCTTTTGAAAATCTATTTTTATATTTAAAAAATTACTTGCGTGCAAGCCCGGATTTGAACCCACGTCTTCTGCTTGAGCCATATTTAACAAAAATGTTCAATGAATATTTTTGTGATATTTTCATTAAATTGTATTGTTAACCGACTTAAAAAACGAGTGTATGTGTTAAGCGAATATTCCGTCATTTGAGAACCGATTTCGATGATTCTTTTTCGTTGGAAAGGGGATGCCTCAGTTCCATTCAAATTTGAAGAAAACATTCCACCCCTAGATGTGGCAAATTAGGCGATGAATACGATTTATTGAATTTCATTACATCACCTACTTTCCGTTAACCGATTAAAAAAAAAAAGCCACATAGATAAAGTGATACGTTCCGCTTTGGGTGGGACCATCCCGCTTTTAGGCTTCGTGTCCCGCAGTCCCCAAAATATTTAAAAATGTCCCGCTTTCAAAAAACAAAATATATATATAAAGCCAGCCAACCAGACATCGAGCACCAGACTACACAAGATTAGTTCTTTATTTAAATTTTGATTCATACATTTTAGTTATTATTTTATCATTAAAAAATTTGGTAATTATCATAAACATGTCATTTATTTTTAAAATAATAATAAATATAAAGACGTCCCGCTCAGAGAAAAAAAATGGCCACGTTACTTAAAGATGTAATTCCAATGAAAATAACATGTTATAGCAGAGAGATGCAAGGAACTCCTCAATACTGCCCTCGGAACGAAAAAGGGCATAACTGTCGTATAAAGTACGCATAGTTGTGCCTTTTTTCGTTACGAGGGCAAATTGTATGTATGTATATATGTATGTATGATTTGTTGTAACGAAAACTTGCATATTATTATGCGTTCCAAGTAAAGTTACGAATACGGCGAAAACAAATAAGTAAACTTTTGAGGTTAGGTTTTTTTTAAATAATATATATGTATATTATTAATATAAATATATTATGCTAACTGCCTCCGTGGCGGAACGGTTACCATCATGCAGAGGCCCCAGGTTCGATTCCCGGCCCGGGAGAAATATTTGTATGGCCTACATTTAGTTCTATTTTGAGTTTGGGTGTAATTTGTGGTTTTATAAGTGTGTGTCCACGGCACCCGCGACACAGGCTTTCCCCAGTGCGGGACTATGTTGAGTGTGTGCGTTATTATTATTATTTATTTATTATTAAGTCACCGTTCGCATATAATAGGAGAGCCAGGGATATAATATAATAACGCACACAACATAAATAACATAGCAACAGTAGAGTCCCTTGTGATAGAGTTCGTCCAGGGTTCGTTCGTCAACCTTACCTACTTCTGCCGCCAAGCAGTGATGTGAGCATTACTGCGTTCCAGATTTAAAGGGTAAAGCTGCTGGTGATGTTACAGGCACATGGGACTTGTCAACTTAAGTCTCAGGGTGACGGGCGCAGTGGCAGTGCCCCTCAGGTCTTTTGCGATTTAAAGCTCTGAGTGGCACTGCAACTGTTATGAACAGGCGTGTTTCTTAATACCAGGCGCACGACTTGTTTCTCCCGACGCTTGGTATCATATAATCTCAGTACAGAGTACTAAAAAAACCGACCTCAAAAGTACGTGGAATTACGTCTATTTGCTAAGTTTCATTGAAATATCCCCTAGTTCGCCACTATACAGGACTTGACACTGGAGATAATAAAAATAGGTTCTCACTACGACACTACTCAAAGTATATTGAGAGAAAAATGCCTTGAATTGGAGAAATAGCAAAATCATTAAAGTAATTGCTCCTAAATTAAAGTTAGGAGCTATTTATAAAAATAAATCTTCATGCGTGAACAGCCACCCTTAGAGGTGGATGATTTCCTTCAAAATGAAATGGGACCACTATCGAAGTACCCCCTTTCCAACAAAAAAAGAATCATGAAAAACGGTTCATAAATACCGGAGTTATCGCGTAACATACATACAAAAAAAACAAAAAAAAAGAACATGCAGTCGAATTGAGAACCTCCTCCTTTTTTGAAGTCGGTTAAAAAATAATTATCTATATATGTACGTTGCTACAGTATGGTTATCGAACCCTGAAACCTCATAACTTTGAGTGAACTAATGTTTAGCAATAACCGTTAAATGGAGACCTCGTAGTTCGGTCCCTATGGACATTAAAATGTGCCCAGTGTCCACATTGTTATTCTTTTGTCCCTCGGTGATAAAGCGGGCACTTTTATTGATATTTTTTCTTAATCTTTTGGTTTAATGTGAATTGTACCTGTAGTAAATACCAAGGTAATGAATTAGGAAAGATTTTTAAAAACAGACGATACTACCCTCGTAATGAAAATAGGCACAACTATGCGTACTATATACAGCAGTTGTGCCTTTCTTCGTTCTGAGGGCAGAATATATATCGAGTTCTTAGGTTTTCGCGATTGTTCCACATAGGAAATGAAACTATTTTTCCAGGTTTAAATCGCGTGTATTTGTTTTTCAAACAAACCAACGTTTTCAGTCAACCGTGACCATGGGACCTGTAAAGGGCCCGAAACGTTGGTTTGTTTGAAAAAAAAACAAATATACGCGATTTAAATCCGGAAAAATAGTTTCATTTCCTATGTCTAACAATCGCGAAAACCTAAGAACTCGAAACGATAACTAATTTTGTTTATTAAAACTGATTTGTTATAGTTCAACTGATGAATGATGTGAAATCAGGTGAAAGTCGTGTGTTTCGCTCGGCAGCAAATTTGTTTTGCGTGTCATGCCTGGAAATTCTCGCTACGCTCAGGAGGCAACAAAATAGTTTTATTTCCTATAGACAATATAGTTTTGAAGATATTAAATACATGGTGCCAGCCAAATACGACTAAATCTATTTTTATGTTATTTTTGTTTTTTATTTTAATTAGTTAAATAAACAGTTAGCATATGTATAGTCCAACACTGGGCACAAGCCTCCTCTCATGATGAGAGGACTTTTCCCACAAATCATTAAATTTCTCACACCATTCAATTGATTTGCAGATGTGTGTGATTTCATCACGATGTTTTTCTTTTCTTTCAAACCCACGACTCTGCTTGAGAAGAGGTTGGTCAAAGCATTAGGCTACTAGGGCTTTTTTAAACGTATTTTTATATTTAAAAAAAACCGACTCAAATTTCACTCCTTGGACCTCACTTGAGGTATCCTCTTTTCAACAAATAAAGAATTTTCAAAATCGCTTCGCAAATGAGTTATCGCGTAACATACATACAAAAAAACATACAGCCGAATTGAGAACCTCCTCCTTTTATTTGAAGTCGGTTAAAAAAATGATATATATTACTTTTATTTCATACATTATACTTTAAATTTGTTTTGTAATTTTTTTCGAATTTCGAAGTAAATAGATATCATTGGAGATTTGCATTAATTTACGTTGACGGAGACCTGGCATTTATTTTGTTTGATCATAATTTCGTCTAAAAATTTCTGAATGGGCTCCGGGGTCACTTATTATATGTAAACCAACTTTTGTCAATTATACGCAGATAAAGATGGCGATTTTCTGATGTGTATAAGCAGTGAATAGGCAGGTTTGGACGCGCGTTTAGTATGCAAATAGAAGATAGGTCTAATTATACGTCTGTAGTGATTCCAAGACTGGATCAACTAAGACTTTGTAACGATGGGGCATTAAAGGTATGGGTCCCATACAAAAAATACACAGTTTATATTTTTTCTACTAAACTATTACATTTGTGGCAAAATGTGACATGACAATATTTAATTAGGACAATAGGATCTTTCGATTGGCATTTTTTTAGAGAGGTATCGTGAAAAAAAAATCCAATGTCCGAAATATCGCAGATCCAACCCACTGTGTGTGGCAAAGTTAAAATAAATATAGCGTATCTGCCTGTCCCCAATTAAGTCAACTTTTATTGTTCTTAAGGGATTTCCCGAATCCCGAAAAGATCCAGGACCTAAAAATATTGTCGTAAGGCAGTCTCCATTTTCTGTCTATGTTTCTCGAAGTTTAGGTAAAAATACTCTACCTTTACCGATCCCTGCTCATAAACCATAATAAATTGTATAAGTGACAGTCGTTATTTCGGTAATTTCTACCTAAACCATTCTACTACCTAAAAAATGTTATTCATGAAAAGAGCATCTACTTAAAATATATAATAATATTTCTATTGTATCAAGAAAATGTTCTCATCTTCGAACTTATAATAATTTTGATTATGGAATTACTTAGTCGTAGTTTATTAAGGTTTAGTGATGTGTGTAATAAACATATCGTCAATTAAAGTTATCGATAAATGGCAGATATAAGTTTCCTGATGTGGGTGGGTGCGTTGTTGGATCGTAATTATCTATTGCTCGTTCCTCAGTTGTCAAATGGGGCGATAAAATGACAACTTGATTGATTTTAGCGCCCCTTCCCATTTCAATAGTTACAACGGCGCGAGATCACGATTGCTAGCATATATACTTTAGTTTTGTAGGTTATATTATTTCTGGTTCTGTCATTAATTGATAAATTTATTTGTGGTATCTATTTATGTTTTGTTTGTGTTTTGTATTAAATAACTGGTAATATTTTTTTATATGAAAACTTAAGCCGCGGTGATGACAAATGAATGTGTAAAATAAATAAATAAACTTGCCGCGTAACGGGTAGTAAATCGAATAAGGACAGCTGTAAGTTATCCATTATAAAAAAGGCGGGTTGCTGACAGAAAAAGGCAAAGGGTGTCGTGGAGAATGTAAATTAATAAAAGAGAAACAAAGTCTTAAAAAAATACTTGTAAGGATCAATTTATATGTTCGGGATATTCTAGGTTGACGACATTATTATTAAGTTATTATGTATACTCTATTATAATTAATTAAAGTAGATTGTCCGATACTTTTTGTAGAGTATATGTGCCATTACTAGAATTTGGTTGTGATATAGTTCAAGATCTGCAAAATTTTAATATAGTTTATATTATAATTTGGGGTATTGATAAATTATTCTCTATTATTACTCTAACTTACGTGTCAGTAATCTGTAAGAAATAGAAATAGTAAACCAATGTATAGCTAAGTTTCCTTGGTGTTAGATAGAATAAAAATAAATGCCATTATTTAGGTTGTTGGCGGCTCAGTGGGATGGGTAATTGCTATCGATGGATATGTGGGGACGACTGTACGTAAGTTGTTGTGGTCAGGGGCGAAGAACATTTTGATAAATTTTATTTAAAGTAGGTGCATACGTGTATTATAAAGCCTTTCTAATATGTAAAAAATACTATTATATCATTTTCATTACACAAACAATGTTTATAACGCAGCCAATGGCTTGAGTGTTACTTTTCAAATTGTGCGAGGTTCGTAGTCAGGAGTGACGCGGTCATTATAGGAAGCACGTCCATCAAGTGTATGTGAATCAATAGAGTTATTTAGGCCACAGATAAAAAGAAATATGTCATAATGTTACATAAGAATATTAAGCTAAGTGCAAAAAGAAAAAATCTAGTTTCTTTAACAATGAGTTACGAGTTCGTCATCCCTGACCGGCGTTATTTCTGTTTGTTTGTGGCAATTAATTAGCGCGATGTTTACTGCGAACACTTACAGAAATACCTACCGGCTCAACAATAAATAAAGTGTTTATTTTTCTACCTGGAATCCTTTACTTTGTAGGACTTATCGCTACTTGTGTATTTGAGTAAAACGTAAGAAATAAACTTTTATCGATAAAATACTGTATCCCAAATAGGCAGATAAAAGCATATTCAAAACTTTTACATTCAAATGCAGAAAAAAATATTGCGTTGAGTTCGAAATTGGAACTGTTTGTTTATGCAGCTGTTGACCGAATGGCTCGTAACATCGATTTGTTAGTTACAATCGTGGAGCATGGCCGTTTGAAGTCGGATTACTGCTGCACTTAACTTTTAATGTAGCATTTGTGTTAAGTAATCCATTATTGAACATTTTCTAGCGATCCCTACTCTGGTTTATGTTTTGGACGACAATTAACATCGAAGTTAGTCAGTTTGTCAACAGGTTCAAATATTATAAAAATAACAAGTCGCAAGTAACCTAAAATGCACCAAAGACAACACAAAAAATACAACAATTGATCCATTCTATTATTATTATTATTACACGTTAGAGTTATTTCGAAGTATACATTAAAATTTCAAAGAATTTCATGCAATTGTTAGGATACTTTAGCGACATTGGCCGTAAACAAACGTATATCAACACCTTCCTCGAATAAACGCCATTAGTATATCATCGTGTAAATCGATACTTTAAACATCAAATCGATATATTATTATCGATTATCTAAACTAAACATTAGCATTTCGAACGTCATTCATAGAGATTACAAATGAGTTAAGTGCTGAGACTGCCAGATGTTAAAATTATTTGGGTATAATAAAAATCGCTATTAATCATAACAAACCAAGAGTTCGATAATAATAAATAAATCATTTATTTGGCATCCAAGGACCACTTGTTTGTAAATACAGACAAGTTTAACTTACGACTAGATACAGAAACAAACCACAAAAACACACATTATTACGCTAAACGCGCCGACTACCTCACCAGAATCTGGATGAAATGACGAAGCATCGGCTCATCGAGCTTGGGCGCAAACATTTTCAGGATGCTGTTAGGACTAGAACGCAGTCTAGAAAGCAGTGACGCCGTCTTTTTTCCCACCGCAGCAGAAAAGTCATCTAATCCCACTTGAGCAAACATCGACGGTGCGCTACGATGTCGCGGTAGTTCCAACAGCATCCTGAAATCGTTATTATATTGAACACGCAGGGCACCGAGTGCCTTCTGCGTATAATTGACCCACAGACCACTCGTGTAGAAGGATTGACAAAATGCCTTGAATGAAGCTATTTTGGCTCCCTCACAGCAACGAGCAAAACTATGTACCAACATATTACATCTGGCAGCTAACGCCCTACGTTCACGATCACCATCAGTTTGGTCTTTAAGATCCTCCATCAAGTAATGTCCTAGGTACTTAAATTTACAAACCCTCTTTAGGGTCACCTCATTAAGGTTAATCCTTGGTTCATATGACATCTCTCTACCGGGGACCCCAAAGACCATAATCTGACTCCTGACACATTTGTATACAAGACCGTGAGTACTTGTATACTGGTCACAAGTTTGACCCCCCTGCTTCATCCCGCACTCCAATCTGTACGCATCCGAGAGAGCCTCTCCCCACCTTACAATATTATTTTGCTGGTTCGTGTACCAGTACTTTATAACACTTATCAGATTCTGGTATACGCCGGCTTTCTCGAACTTGTCTCAGATATGTAAGTAAGCCACCAGATCAAAAACAACATAATTTAAAAAAATTCAAAGGATGCACAGAAATACATACCGACTACTCCCACTATGCTGAAGAGACAGGCGCATACTGCTGCCAATATTGCTGCCTCCGAAGGAAAAACTACAGTGGTCATGTTGGCATGATTTTCGATAGTCGAGTTGTCTTCCATTTTCGAACTCCATTCACATTCACTTTATCGGTTTATAATCACTTTCTTTTCTTTTTTAACAGCACTGCATTATGTCGCTTTTCAATTTCGAACTTTTTCTTGTCATTTTTTGTGTAATAAAGTAAACGAGTTTTTTTCACTATTATATAAGGTATTTTTATATGCCAGAGACAGACATCTGGAGAGGGTGTATCACGGTAACATCGCGTGACGAATCCTGTAACAAGAGAAGGCAAGTTATATTTTCAAGTTCATTTTATTGTTAGCACGTGTTCATGATTATGATTCTAACTAAAACATTAACACCTGATTATCGTTTCATTCTGTTATTCTTGACGTTTTCTAACAGAACATGTTCTGAATGGGGTCATATTGTTTATTTTCAATGTGTTTTATTTGACAATGTCTTGGATGACGATGAAGATCTAAATGTTTAAAGGTCAACAACAAGATCTCTTAACATAAATCATTCACAGCCATATTATAATATTTTTGCCAATACAAATAATCTTATGTTTGATGTAGACAAGCATGATAAACAGTTAGCGTAATTGTACGGTTTTTAAGAATGTAAGAGAAAACGTTTAAAACTTTGCTTATTTTAAAACACGCGTCACACCTGGATATAGGTACTTAAATGGTTCAATGTCTATGTACTGTTTTAATTTTTTATTGTGTGTCAATGTGTGTGGTACTAATTATACAATATTTACCTTTTACACTATAATGAAAGAATTTATAAATTGGTTTTTAGAAGATAATAATTAAGATTTGTGAGTTAAATAACTTAAAGTAACTTGAAACTCATTCTGACGCTTTTTTTGTTAACCATACAAGTCACTCAAAATGAATTTGAACAGTGAACACACACTTAAGTGACCTGACGAATTGATAATTGACACTTGACATCTTCACATCAACGTCTGAAGTTGGAATGGTGTAAACGAAGACGTAATATTGATTTTGGTATATTAAGTAGCCTATTAATTGTCAAATAATTAAATTATCAATATTTATTTTAGTGATCTGGTGTAACCTCGGATCGAATGCACAAAATGGAAAAAAAACTATTTAAAAAAAATAGAAAAGGTTGTTTATAGATTCAAATTCCTTAGATAGATAATTTTCCGTTTTTGCATGTGAAATTGTTTTAAAATTTTATAGGTTAGTAATACATGCGACTATCGGTATAATGGTCAATGGTAAAAACAATGGTGGTGTCAAAACTAGTTTTATTTCTACCAAGAAATGCTGTTGGTGGCACACATAGGTCACGTTGACTTATACCGTTCTTTACTACGCATATAGCCCAAACCAAGCAATTTGTAACAGAATCACTGATGACATTGATTGACGCACATTGCAATAAGTCATAACCAACTTTCAGACGTAAGATAAGCGTGCGAAGCCGTTCCATTAACCCCTCAGTCACGCACTCTTTACATGAATTTACATGACACACATACACGCACAGAAAGTATATTATACATACCTACTTATCCACTGGCATAGTTATTATTTGTTATTAGCACGGTTAAATACACATAACATATCATGAGAAGAATGTAGATTAAAAAACTTACAAGGGGCATGACTACAGCATTGATTTACTGTATTGTGGACATATGTTACTCTCGACAATGTGATAATAATTAACACATGTTGTTTATAATTACAAGAAAAACAAATCCAGAACTAACAAACTATTTATCTAAGCATTGGAGATTTCATTTTCAAATTTCGATAAAATGCCGACGACTGTCCATCACTAAAATTCTAAGTTAGTTCGAAATTTAAAATCCCTTTATAAAGTATTTAAAAAAAACAGTAAAAGTTTTTCACTTGTCGTTCGGAAATTATCACTTTCATTTGTTTTATTTATTGTTACTCGATGTGCAGCCAGTCGGCTAATGCGAAAATATCGTCTTGGTCACCCATCGTCCCTCACGGTGGCTTAGCGCGCATACAAACCACCTTTAATCAAGGGTTCTTTGTTTAATGGTCGTCTAAAGCGAGAGCAGCGATGACTCGCACCCTTTTTTGGAGAGTTTCGCGAATCGAATGATGCGTTTATTGAGGGGATATTTTTTGCTCGTGATGTGCAGGAAATAGAATCATGTATAAAGTAGGCTGCAATGGTTTCAAATGCAGCAGGTGGATATTGTGATACGACAATAACATATAGGCACCTAATGAATTTACATTATAATTGGTTGGATGATACCTATATTGTCAAGCGGCGTACCTACATTGAGGTTAGGTAGGAATAACAATTTGAAAAGAAAAGAATGGAGCACATTTCATCAGAAAATTCAAATATTCGTTAAAATGTACAATCAACAGCACATCAAGCTATACACTTTTATTCGACTATCACCTCCAGGATTAGTGTTGGGTCATGGAAAAATGTCCATTTTGAAAAAATCATATTTTTCAGAAGAATAAACATTTTTACGGATTTTTTCCTTTATTTTTCCTTTCATTTTCCACATTTGACGTTAACACCTGTCAAAAGTTGAAGTTACTGAAAGAAAATGATGGAGCCATTAAAACGGTTTTTTTCACTGTCGTGAAATTATTTTAAATCTCGTTTTTTTTGCTAAGTGGCTTTTAAATATACAAGTTTATTTTATAATTCACGCTAAATAAAATTTCTAAACGTAAAACATAATTATGAGTCTTCAAAATTATATTTTTTCAATTTTTCCATTTTTTCCTCAATTTTTTCACTCTTTGAAATTTTTCGGAAAATTACACAACAGTAGGCTTGTTGTGTTGCCATCTGTATCTAGAGCTCGAAAAACAAAAGCTTTGTTTATTTCAAAGATTCTTTTTGATTAAATAGATTGATAGAAAAATGCAATTATGGTTCTAAAATTAAATATCATACATGACATTCTATAAAAAATAAATAGTCGTTAGATTTTTATGCACTTATATGATTTTCAAATATATCTACTTATTAAGAGAGTAGGAGGTCTGACGTATGGGTAGGTAATTCATCGATTAGCGGGCGTTGTTGATGACGACGGTCAATTCAATTTGATAAAGTGTCCAATGACTATTTGCACATGGCTAATCGACTAAGAGCATGCCATCGGTTACAAGGAACACAATTGGTAACTTTAATTGGAGTAAATGTTCTTCATTTATATAGAAAGTTGTACTATGAACCAGGTTTCGAAATTATGTAGATTCTTATAATTATTAATACAAAGATCGAACACTCAGAAAAAATTCCTTCGATCCGGTCGGATTCGAACCGACGCACGGCGACGTCTTCTTGCATACCGTGCCAGACGCTATACCAACTAAGCCACGGAACGAACCAACGGACCTCACGAATTTTTCCATCTATGAGAAATCTATGACAGATTTATCACCCAGTTAGTACCTTTACAGCTACCAGTCCTGGCGAGAAATGTCGCTATTCACTGTATTAATTAAATTTTTATTGAATTGATATTCAATTATTTTTTGTGAAATTACTCCACTAGTTTGTTATAATTATTAATACAAAGATCGAACACTCAGAAAAAAAAAACGTGGCTTAGTTGGTATAGCGTCTGCCACGGTATGCAAGAAGACGTCGGTTCGAATCCGACCGGATCGAAGGAATTTTTTCTGAGTGTTCGATCTTTGTATTAATAATTATAACAAACTAGTGGAGTAATTTCACAAAAAATAATTGAATATCAATTAAAAAAAAATTTAATTAATATGTAGATTCTTTCATAATTATCATGATAATTATCTGATGATTATCCATGATGATTCATAGTTTTGTGTCTGTCACTTTTTACGAAAATACTGAAAAAACTAAACACGAAGAAAAATCTTAGGGAAACGTTTCAGTTTGCGAATTTTTAACTTCAAAAAAAAGGAGGAGGTTCTCAATTCGTCTATACATGTATGTATGTTAACTCCGTTATTTGTGAACCGATATTGATAATTCTTGTTTTGTTGGAAAGAGGGTACCTCGGCAGTGGTCCCATTCAAATATACATATATCAATATTTTAAGGTTATTTTTATTAACTGATTGTCTCTCTGCTCAAGCCTCTGAGCTCTGCTCAATAGAATCCTTATTTTTGAATATGACATTTGTGACACAAAAATTCATAGAATTTAGAAAAAAACGACGTCATGCAATAGTTGTAAATAGTGATATTGTATTTATTGACATACATACGTGGCGCCAAAAGTAGGCAAGCTAGTGACGTGCTGTGTAATTCGATAGCGGGGCCATTAGTTAATCTCTCACCTATTTTCTTATCGACATCGTTGGTGCCTTTGCGTTAGTATAGAGTTTCTTAAATTATGAGTACATTGTGTCTATAAGACTTAAGTATATTGTGTTGATACCGGTTCTACTAATACGTTCATTTTGCTTGGGTTGGTTTTTTAAAATTTATTTTTTTTTACATAAAAAAACCATTTGAAAAATGTGTATGCTATACGTGTTCTATTTAATTCAGTTGAGATCAAAAAAATATATTTGGTATATGTACAGTACCTATTAAGTGCAGCAGCTTTCTTGTAAAATTTCGTGGTAAGTTTTATGGTTTTTTTTGCGAAAATTTTTAGGAATTGTATTTTTACACCGTGTATATCTCAATTTTACTGTATATTGTTTCCAAAGTGATTTATTGAACATTTGAGGTTGTATAGACTGTTAACAGTTATAGTATCACTCTAAGCTAACTGCCTCCGTAGCCGAACGGTTACCATGCCCGATTGCCACGCAGAGGTCCCAGGTTCGATTCCCGGGCCGGGAGAAATAGTTGTATGGCCTACAATTATTTCTCTAGTGAGTTTGGGTGTAATTTGTGGTTGTCTATGTGTGTGTCCATGGCACCCGCTACACAGGGTTTCCCTAGTGTGGGGCTATGTTGAGTGTGTTCGTTACTTATTTAAAAAAAAGAAAAAGTTTAAACCGCAAAGATTTGAAGAGCATTGCCACTGCGCACGTCACCCTGAGACATAAGTTGACAAGTCCATGTGCATGTAATTTCACCAGCACCCTTAGGTACCCTTCAAAACCGGAACGCAGTAATGCTCACATTACTGCTTGGCGGCAGAAATATATAAAGTGGCAGTACTTCCTTGGACGAACTCTATCACAAATAGCTCCACTGCTACTAAAATGAGTAAGTTGTGTGAAAGCAAAAATAAGTATTTCGTACCTTTGGTATAATAAAGACATATGTAATCATAC